AAGCCTTGTAGGGGTAGTCCAGCCCGGGGAAAGTACTGGCAGCATCCGTTATTGTCCTTCATTTGTCACAGAAGCTGATGGGAAATCATTCAATTAAAAGGAGTGCAGCGGAATACACAAAATCTCAATATGAGTTTAGGAGAATGAGGGCAGCACATCAAAGGCATGCCAAAGCCCAGCTTTATGAAATGATTTTTTTTTTTTTTTTTTTTTCATTTCCACTGATTTCCTAGGTGAAATTAGGTGACTGTCTGGCTAGCATAATGATGATAAGGCTGGGAAACCATACATACTCAAATGACATACGTATAGTTTTAATAAAGGATGAGGGAGACTTGAGGGAGTGCATTAAATTGAGTAATAATTTATTATTTAGAGACCTCTACCCATTTACTCATTTTTGCTGGGAGAATTGGCTCTTCCTCCAAGGTGTAGGCCACTTCTAGAGAGGGGGGAGAAGGTAGGGGCTGGTGCCACTGCTGCAGTAGCTAGCTGGCAAAGCCAACTTCAGCAACTGCCTGCAGCCGAGTGCCGCGGCTACCTATCCTGTTGTTGAGCTGCTCAATAAACATGCTGGGAGAGGGAGAGGGGGAGAGTTGACAGGGCCTTGCATGTCCTATAGGAATGCACTGCAATTATTTCCAATCACAATTAACCTGATTAGAATAATGGACAGGAAGTGTCCCTCTGTAGCTAATGCAGTTTGGCATCAGCTGACTGAAATCCTTTGATAATTTCTGCACAGATGGCTGGGCTGAAAGCAGCACTTTTTTAATTATTATTTTCATGGTCTCTTGGTAGGCCAAAACCTCGACACCAACAACAGACCTCCCCATTAAGGCGGACGGCGCCAACGTCAACATCACAGCTGCCATTTATGATGAGATCCAACAGGAGATGAAAAGGGCCAAGGTATCTCAAGCTCTCTTTGCCAAAGTGGCTGCCAATAAAAGTCAGGTGAGTGGTAGAGGGGATTTTGTTGTTGCGGGGCTTTTTGGGGTTTTGTTTTTAAAGCAAACTCTGGGGCTGGAACTAGACCCATCTCCTCCTCCCAACAATAAAAATACATCTGTTCCTACAATAGTAATAATCTTCATCTCTGGGGAACCTGTCGTGTTTTTGGCTTTTGCCTGCTTAAGTGGTTTCCTTTTCCCTTTTAAAATAGGCTGAGGAAAGGATCAGCTCACAGCCAAGCTTTTTCTCCCCTTTTGTACAAACACGCATGTCTTTTCCCACTTGTGGTATATAACTTACACCTCTGCTAGTGGGACAAGGACCATTCAAAATGATGGTATCTTTCTCATTTGGCAGGTAAAGAAATTGTTTTCTTAAGTGATTAACTGAGGGAAGGCAATGGGAAACCGCATATTAGGCAGGTGTTTCCTTTTTTTTGCATGTTGTATGTGCCGCATATGGTATTGCCATGTGAATAATTCACATCAGATCCAATCATTTTTACAAAAAGGCATGAGAGGGCAATGCAGTGAGTTCTCCTGGATTAATTTCTACCTTAGGTGTAAAAAATACATGCGGGCAAACCTAGGTCAGGTGAAATTCTTGAAGAGAATCCATTAATTTAAAAATTTCATCCAACTCTTTAAAAAAATATAATGCACCAGAAGGGATTTTATGGAAAGGAGGACAGACAGAATTTTTTGTAGGAAGGGCAGCAAGTGGATTGGAGACTGTTGGAAGGAGTTGTTTACGCAGTGAAAAGGGCTGCTTCTGATCCTGGATGAAATTACTCAGTTGTGCTAGGAAAAGGCATCAGTGTGCACAGAAAAATGCACAAGTGTGTCTGTGACAATGAGAGAGGGGGATAGAAGTATCTGGATGCATACACTCTGCAAAATACATACTTTGTTTTCCTCTGTGCAGGGAAACAACATTGTAGTCATTAAAGTAGATGTAAAATAAGAGGTTGAAAGGCGTATAAACAAAGCATCAAAGGCTACGAAAGCACATGGGAGAGCCTTGTCCTTGTTACAGGTATTTGTGCCCTGACACATGGAGGTCTGATTCATTTTTCCTTCGTCATTTAGTCATTCATTTTCTTTGCCTTTTGCTTTCTCTTGTCAGGGTACAGCAGTTACAGTCCGCAACCCCTCTACCCCCCAACAAATTCCCAGGCACAGTATGAAATACATAAAAGGAAAATACCATGGAACCCTCTTAAACTGTTAAATGCATAAAAATCTCATGTACCACATGGCAAAATATAATGAGAACTGGAGCTGTTAAACGAATAAAGCTGTTAAAAGCGTAATGCCACTTGGCACAACTACTGTGCATTTAACGGTTTTCCACTGTGTAATAAATGACATATGTGGTAAACGTGCAGTAAATATAAAAACTGCACAATTGATTTTGCAAACGTGCCCCTTATTCTTTACTCCATGCAGATATCAAAGTTCCACCCAGAATCCGGACTGGACAGCTTTTAATAAGGAGTGTTTAACATAGACTTGAATGCCAGCCTCTCTGAGGCTTGGCTTAAAATTGCCTGCAAGCTTCCTGTCATTATACCCAGAGGCTTCTTGAAATAGAGAGGGACTGAACCACCCAACAATAATTTGGGTGGCTCACCACCTCCAGTCTTTGCCAGCTTGAGTGCGCTTCTCTGGCAGCGTTGCACACCAGCACCAAAACAAAAATAAGCTCCGTAGTCTTTCACGTGGAAAAAGAATAGGGCAGATTTTGAAAGCCAGATGCAAAAGGTTAAGAACAGGATCCACAAATGTTATTGTTTAAAGCAAAGTTACTGCACATAAAGGTTTTGTTTCTTCAGCAGCAGCGAATAAAGAAGTGTTTCTGAGGCTGATGTTTCTTTTGTTTCACAGCCCTGCCAAAGCAATACTGGCTCCCTGGGATGACCCAGCATTCGCCATGCTGAGATGTCATAGCGCTCTGCTGGAGCATGAAAGTGGTTTATGGGGGCACTGGAAGACAGGGACAGAGAAGCTGTAGCCAAGAACCATAGCGGTACGGGGCCTCCCCCTGCCCCAAAGCCCGCCTGTGTGCCTGCCCCCTGGCCTGGCTTGGTGTGCCTGTGCTGTCCCTCCACTGGCTTCGGTGCCCTGTGGCCAGGAGGAATGCCAAAAGCAAGGACACAGTTGCTTGTGCAGGGGAGAGCCACTGGCATGGTGGGATGGTCGGTGTGTCACCTTAGGTCTAAAAAATAGCATGGGGCTTTCCCAGTGCTTTGTGCAGGCCAGTTGTGCCAGCCGCGGGCATTTGTGGTGAAGATGCTGCTGACTTCAGCAGCTGAGTTACATGATGGGAAGCGCTCATTGAAAACTGCCCATGTTTGCAGAAGAGAGAGTTTGAAAGAGGGGAAAAAAGAGCTAGTCTGAGGGTTTGCTTGGACTCTCCGCCAAGGTTCGTTCACTTGCTGTTCTCCACAGGCCTGGCTTGCATTGCGTTGGCTTCCTCTATTATTCCCTCACCCCAGACTACTGAGAGGCTTCCAGTTTGCTAACAAGGCATGTGTTATGTTGGGCACTGCTGTTCTGTCAACAGCAATCCACGGTGCTGTGAGATCTTCACAGTTTTAGCAGCCAGTGAATCTCCGACAGGGCTGTTTTGACATTTTATACACAGGGCTGTATGTCATGTACCCGAGAGAGCATCCAGAGCCAATGGAGGCCTCATTTCATCTTCTGTCTTCGTACAGGAAGAGTGGTACCCACTGAGAGCAGTTATTGCAAGCGGCATCATCCAGCGGTGGAGTTAATTGACCTCTAATTTAACAAGTAGCCATCTTTATTCTTAAGTCATGGCAGAGTCTCAGTTCAGCAACTAAAGGGAAGGGCAGCTGCTGGAAACAAAGGTTACAAATCACAGAGCTCACAAGTCAACATAAATGCAAGGAACAGGGCCTCACGGAGGTACCAAGGTGGTATGGTGAGACTTCTTTGAGGGAATCCACCTTCATAAAGATCTCAAGCCAATCATTTTAGACATTGACTTATCCATCGCTTATTTACCTTAATATGCATTTTATTCCTTGCAACTTATATCTAGACATTTTTACTCTTGTTGTGAAGTGCTGTGCATCCCTTTGTATTTTTGAAGGCAGCAGGAGCTGAGGGGCTCAGTGCCCTCCAAACACAGCCTCCAAAGCTGTCATCCGATTTTAGTTGCCAGCTGCTAGTGATGTACCCACTGGACAGCATGCTTCTCTGGGGATGCCGCCTGCTAGTCCCCTTTGTCCTTTAAATGGCTAAACCTGGGACCTGTATTATCACGTTGGGAGTGTTTCTGAGTGTGGCCAGAACACCAGGATTTGGTTTGCAATCTGTGCTTTGGGCTCTCCTGGCTATATCTGATTCACAAGGAGATGGGTTTCCAGTGTGCCATTTCAGAGAGGTTCAGGTGGCCTGTGTGTCTCCAGAGCTGGGCAGTGGGACACGTAGAGACTTTGACCTTGGGTTGCTTCAGGTTTGGACTGTCGGCTTCTACCAGTTGTCCAGTTCTGCAACTGCTCTACAGTACGACTTCAGAAAAACCATTTCCCCTGTGACCATGTGCCAGCGCTTCTGTAATACTGTGCAGCAGCATCACCCCTCTGACCTCTGCTAGTGAGAGTCCTAGCAGAGGCTGTGCTGTGCTTAGCAGACTTTTTTTTAGTCTGTGCGAAGTGAGTTTAGGAATATAGTTCTGTTCGTAATGAACAGTCACTATCAAAATAAATAGTGGGCATAGCTGGCTAGAGCCCTTATTGACAGTCAGAGGTAGGGCAAAGTTTGTATGAACATGGAGACCGAACTTCGCACAGTTCTCCCAGGGCAAGAGACTCTCCTTAATCAGGCTGGGGTGGCATGGGGAAGCGGGGCACGTGCTGCTGGGGATCTGCCCCGGGCAGGGCAAATGGAAGGCTTTGACCTTCACCAGTCCAGTGAAAACAAAAAGTAAACCCTTGAAACTGAAATTCTTCCTCAAGGGACTGGAATTTGTTTCAGCTGCACCACAGTAAAGCAAGAGAGACCTCATGGAGCAACATTTGAAAAAAACATTAAGCTGGCGAAGCTCAGTCTCTGGTTCATATCTTTGCCCTGTTTAAAAATGAACAAACAAAACATAAACTTGACGGGAGAGGTGGGGGGGTGGAGGCTGGGGGCAGAAAAGCCCTTCAGTTGAGGCCCTTCAGGTTAAGAGAAGCCCAGGGCTATGGATGGAAATCACTACGACAGTTCCTCACCTTTCCTCTGACTTTTCCTTTTCATTTTGAGATCTCTGCCTCATTGCCAGGATTGTCTGGGAGCCTGTTCTCTGGCCAAGGGGGGTGTTAGCCCCACAGTAGGAGCCCATGCTAGATGGGTCTCAGCACCATGGCCACCTGCCCATGCCCTCACCTCCTGCCTGTGCTCCGAGAAGAAAATAGAGGTACTGCGAGAGCGATGAGCAGCGTCACTGGGGCAGGGTTAGCTCTAGAAACCCCTTATTTTGTCCTTCCCTCTCTTTCCTTCCCAACTTATGTTCCCTTGTATATATTTGATATGATGGGATGCCTTCTCTCCCCCTTTTAGCTTATAATAGGTATTTTCTGTGCCCTTAAACTAATTAGCTTCCAGTGATGATGAATAACAGCTAGAAAAAACAGCTGGTGGTGAAGATGCGTAGCATATATAGTGTATGCATATAGGGTACTTCTTACTGCTGTAGCATCTCGGTGCCTTTATGATGTTGCGAATCACTACAGCTGGGACATATCTGTCGTGGTGATATTTTGATGTTCTTGTTACATATGGAGGAAATACAGAAAGACATTTCTCTCCTTGACTGAACTTAAAATTTCTTTGAAGTACCTTTGGACATCAGCTTCTTTTTTACAAACTTCTACATGCAGTCACAGTGTGACCCCCATCCAGGACAGCATCTGCAGCGGTGTGTTAGCCTCTCAGCAGCTGAGCGAAGCAGGGACAGTTCTGGAGTTGGGGCTTTGCTCAGGAAGTCCT